CTCACGCCCCGGCCCCCCCTCACGCCCCGGCCGCGCCCGTCTCCCCGCAGCCGCCAAGTCCAAGGGCAAGAACGCGCCGAAGGAGGCGCTGAAGGGGCCGGAGGTGTGCACGGACCCCGCCATGCTCGCCACCCACGCCATGGGGGTCAACTACTTGAAGGACGGCCCGGAGGTGGCCCTGAAGCCCGACTCCGAGTACCCCGACTGGTAGGTGGTGCCCAGCCCCTCGCTGTGCGGAGCGGGGGCTCCCGGGCGCCCGTCCCTGCGGAGCCGCCGTTGGAGACGTGGGGAGCTGTTCTGGGAGGAGGGGAGCCCGGAGCCCTTCCCCCAGGACGGGCTGTGGATGCGGTGGGGGAGGCATCCGCACGTCCCGGTCACACACTGCCACCGCTCCGTCCTGTGCTTGTCCCTTTGCCCTCCCTGCCACAGCCTCGTGTCCTCTGCATTCGCCCCCCAGGCTCTTTCAGATCCACCTCGGCCCCCCCAAGAAGCTGGAGGAGCTGGACCCCGACTCGGTGGAGTACTGGAGGCGCCTGCGGAAATACAACATGTGGCAGCGCAACAGGCTGAAGAAGGGCAAGAAGATGTAGGCACCGCAGCGCTGGGGCCGCCCCGAGTGCCAGCGTGGGTGGCGCTGGGACCAGCTCCTGCTTTCGGTCTCTTCTTCTTGCTATGAACTAGTAATAAACCTCTGGTGAGGCTGATACCTCTTATGGAGGCTGCAGCAAACCCAGGCTCGGTGCGGGTCCCCCCTCGTGCCGGGGGCTGGTGAGCGGTTGAGGCAACGCAGGCCACAAATTCTCGGTGTATTTGCTAAAACAAAAGCTCATTTTTTTGCTCCTAGAGGGAACCTGCGCTGCCAGATGGGTCCTGCTCCCTGCTCTGTCGCAGTCTGCGCTGCAGCGGCTGGGGCTTAAGGGCCCCCTGGGGGGGTGCAGTGGGTTTGGGTGTAGTGGGGAGTGACTCCACTGGCACCGCTGTGTCCCCTGGGCGGGGGGCTTTGGGGGCCGAGCAGCCTGTGCTTCTTGGGGACAGGAGGATGGGGGCCAGGCTCTGGCAGTGCCGCAGGGGCAGCGGGCGAGGCGAGGGGGGACACGGTGACCCCTCGCAGTGCCACCCCCACACCGTGCTCTTGATTCCTCCTCCAGCAGCGGGGGAGCGGCGGCTGCTGGGACACCGGGGTCCTGGCTTGGCTGGGGGTGTGGTGAAGGCAGGGTCTTCCCCACAGCAGCGGGGGCCTCGCTGCCCTGTCCCTGCGTGTCCTCGGCTGGCTCCAGCCTGGCAGAGCCCACCAGCTTTCCCCAGGCCTCGGGCCTGCCCCTGCGTTGGTTGAGTGGGCTGAGAGGTGCCCCTGTCCCCTTGGTTCGTCTCCGTCCAGGACTCACTGTGCTGCACCCTCTGCCTGGCCTCGAGCTGGGCTACGGGGACAAAGCAGCAGCCCACGAGGTCCTGCTGCAGCGGGGAGGGGGCCATGGAGCCACTGCCCGGCCCGGCAGTGTCCCCCGTGCCCCATGTCCCAGGGCAGGGGCTGTGCCCGGCTGCCCCGGGGGGCTGCGGGGCGGCGGCGTTGGCAGCTGCAGCACCCGCGCGCCGCGGCACAGGAAGCGGCAGAGGAAAGCAGAAGTGCCATGCTGCGGCGCGGGGGGGCTGGGGGACATTTTGGGTTGAACCCTCGTTTCCTGTGCGTGGGGCCCAGTGCGCACCCTCGGAGCTGACGGGGCTCAGGCCGGGCTGTGTCCAGCGGTGAGTGCCCTTTCCCCGCCCTGCGCCTTGCCCTCCCCTCGCCACCCCCAGCACCTCCAGCCCCCCAAACCCAGCAGCAGGTGAGCAGAGGGGGCACCCGAGTCTCTGCCCTCCATCTCAGAGGCCCCTGCTCGGGCGAGTGTCACCCAGCCGCTGCAGACGGCTTGGTCCTGGGGACATGCGCGTGCCCGGGGTGAGTCCGTGGGGAGGGACGCGGGGAGGACAGAGCCCATCCCTGGGTGCTGCCCCGTCCAGGGTGATTCGTGCCACCTGCCCCTCGCTGCTGAAGCCTTTGCTCGGATCAAAGGGGGCTGAGGTGGGTCCCAGCCCCAGGAGATCCCTGTGTCCTCTCCCCTAACCCCTCCACGGGCTGGTGGAGCCCTTGGTGGCCCGGCAGGGCTTGTGCTGGCCACCTGGAGGCCTGGTGATGGTGGGGGGGCTGTGCGAACCCGCTGCGGTCTCTGCCAGGAGAGGGGTCCCTGGGCTCAGCCCTCCATGATGGGCCCCATTCTCTGTGTCCCGGGAAGGTGACAGGGAACATCCCCTCTTCCTTGGACCCTGTCCTGTGCACGTCCCTGTCCTGGGGCTGGGCTAACGTGGCCCTGGCTCCTTGCCTGAGGCTGGGGGGGTGAGCAGGGCCCCCTGTGCCACTGTCACGGTTCTTGCCCTCCAGGTGCAGAGGGGGAATTTGTGTCATTGCTGGCTGGCGGCTGGCAGCCCCCGGCACCTCCCCAGGGAGGCCAAAACTCTCCCGGGCTCCTTCAGGGTGCAAGCACTTGTCACCCCGTCACCCGCTGATGGCTGGTCACCTCCAAG